TGTGCCCTGACCAGGAATGGAACCGTAACCTCCTAGTTCAGTGATGGCGAACCTTTTGAGCTCGGCGTGTCAGCATTTTGAAAAACCCTAACTTAACTCTGGTTCCGTGTCACATATAGAAATTTTTTGATATTTGCAACCATAGTAAAACAAAGACTTATATTTTTGATATTTATTTTATATATTTAAATGCCATTTAACAAAGAAAAATCAACCAAAAAAATGAGTTCGCGTGTCAGAGGTTCGCCATCACAGTACCTAGTTCATAGGTTGACGCTCAACCACTGAGCCATGCCGGCCTGGCATCCTCTGTGGTTTAATCTAGGACGTTAGAGCTGAAAGAGATCTTAGAAATGTTCTAGTCTAACTCGATAGCTAAGAAGGACTATCACAAGAACCTTAAATAAGGAAAGAGACTTTGAAATGGTGCATAGTCTTCAGTAGCTGTTTGTTGAATAAACAAACAAATCTATCTTCCCTTTTCCAATTCTTGTCTCTCTCGCAACACTGCTTCATGCCACCAGAAAGTTTTACTGTGACCTGTTTTTAGTTCTAAAATTGCATGTCTGTATACTTTTCCTTAAAATGAAAATTTTCATCTATGTTTAAGGTGCTGAACCAAACATTTTCCCCACTTTATATTACTCCCTACTTCCTCTTTCTTTCTAAACACCCAGGGCAGACAATTTTAAAAAAGCTAAATTCTTACCTTTGTAAGTGTATTGATTTCCTACTGCTGCTGTAAAAGATTATTGAAGACGTAGTGGCTTACACAACATGTTATCCTACATTCCTGAGGCCAGAAGTCTAAAGTAGGTCAGCAGGGGTTGCTTTCCTTCTGAAAGTTCAAAGACAGAATCTCTTTTCTTGCGTTTTTCAGGTTCTGGAGGCCACCCCATATGCTTACCCTGCACCACTCTGACCCCTGCCTCCATCTTCACAGCTCCTTCTCACTCCGGCCCTCCCACCTTCTTAGAAGGATCCCTGTGATTACATTGGGCTCACCTGGACAACCCAAGCTAACCGCATCTCAGAATCCTTGATCCCATGTGCAAATCTTTCACCATGTCAGGAACATATTTCCAGGTTCTTGGAGTTAGAATGTGGCTCTCTTTGGCAGCCATTACTTGGCATAAACAATGAGGGACACAGCAGTGGGAAATGTACAAAGTCCCTTATGAATATCTACCTATGTTTGGACTTTCATTGTTTTATATTAATAATAATATGTTGCTGCTATTTGTTGAATATATATTATGCTCTGGGCATATTAATATTAGTTCCTTACAAAAATACTTTAAAGTATTCTCCCTATTTAACAAATGTGGGAAATAATGTTTGGAGAGATTAACCTTCATAAAGTCACACAGCTAAAAAGTAGCACGTATAGACTTAAATTGGTTTGACTGCCATGCCCACTGCCTCCATAATGATTGAAACACCCCCGTTCTTACTCTTCATATTTGTTAACGTCACTAACACTGTTATTTTCTCAAGGCTGAAATTTCATACACTTTGTAACTTCAAGGCTGCTGCTATTCAATGCTCCAGCCAGTAATTAACATTAGTGAGGGCCTACAGTGGGAATTGAACTTGGTAAAGTACATGTTCTTCTCTACACCTGCCCCCAATTTGTGAAAGTGACTTTTAAAGTTTTTACAGGTGTTCTCCAAAACCTGACCCGTTAAGGCTTGCTTTACACTTGTTTAGTCTTATTAATAACAACCCCTCGTCTCCTGCTATGGGCTTTTGCCTAAGCCAGCACTTCTCCCTGTTGGTAATTAGAAATACCAGGGCGCCGAAACCGGTTTGGCTCAGTGGATAGAGCGTCGGCCTGCGGACTGAAGGGTCCCGGGTTCGATTCCAGTCAAGGGCATGTGCCTGGGTTGCGGGCACATCCCCAGTGGGAGGTGTGCAGGAGGCAGCTGATCGATGTTTCTCTCTCATCGATGTTTCTGACTCTCTATCTCTCTCCCTTCCTCTCTGTAAAAAATCAATAAAATGTATTTTAAAAAAAAAAGAAAGAAATACCAGGGCCAGGTCACAACGTCGACCTGTTGTATGCCAATCTTTATTGAGCAGGTAGGGTATGAAAGTGGAGGAAGGAGATGGCTGGAGCATGTTTTCATACTTATGCATGTGTATAAATGTAGGCAGTGATGTGTGTGTGTGTGTGTGTGTGTGTGTGTGTGTGTGTGTGTTGGGGTGGGGCAGGTGGTTGAGATCTTGGATGGTTAAGAAAAGGACAGGCAAGTTGTAAAAAGTGCCTGTGCAGTCCTTGGTGTGTCCTAACATATACATAAGGTAGAAGTTGCTGTTGGCCAGCACTGCCCCCTTGAATGTTTAACAGATTAAGGCAAAATTCTGTTCCGTGACGGCATACTATTTATATACATGAATTTGGACACCCACCTCACCATACATTACAAGGAACAGGTGGAAAGAAAGGCCTGAGTAAGTGTGAATGTATCACCCGGTGAGGGAACGCAATCCGTGCCGGTCCTTGATGTTAAGCCAGCAGCCTCATTTTTCATATATAAGAAAAACAATTCATGTGAAATGTTTAATATAGCGAGCAGTCTTCTCACCTTTCATTAGTCCACCTGCCCTACCAGAGCTAAAGTGTAAATATAATTATGTCATGCCAGTAATATTCTATACATTTTAGATAGATTTCCTCAGAAAGTTGGTTTTTTCTTTCACTGCAAGTCCCTCCCTTAGAATTATTATTTTGACATGGACTCTGTTTCTTTTTAGGCTGAGAGCCTGATTCAGTTCCAGAATTCCAATGTAGATCCAGGCTATAAATAAGTCACAGGAAATGCAGTTTGAGTGTTCTGTGACCGGGTAATGTTTAATCATATTTAAGTTTAACAGTAATGAGAAAAATATATTACAAAAACACAGATGTTTGTAGGAAGGAGTAATTAGGGAAAAATTCATTTGGGAAGTCTCTAAAGTGAAGCTGTCCTTGAACAGAACAAAACACAAAGGACAAAAAAGGGAGTTTGAGAGTGTGTTGGAAACCATCCTAAAATAAAAATATTTGACTGTAAAATTGACTTTTTAGAAAACTAAAAGTGCTGTAACTTTAGCTCATGTAGCTCATGTAATAAGTTATTTCAAAGTGATATTTTTAAAAATTAAATTTAGTGGGGTGACATTGGTTAATAGGATCATATAGGTTTCCAGTGTACATTTCTTTTTTTAAAGAAAGTATGTTTTATTGATTTTAGAGAGAGGAAGGGAGAGGGCTAGAGAGATAGAAACATTGATGAAAGAGAAACATCAATGGGGTGCCTCCTGCACGTCCCCTACTGAGGATTGAGCCTGAAACCCGGGCATGTGCCCTGACCTGGAATCAATCCTGTGATCTTTTGGTTCATGGGTCGATGCTCAACCACTGAGCCACACCGGCCAGGTTCAAGTATACATTTCTATGATTCATTAGTACATTGTGTGCCCACCACCCAAGTCAAATCATCTTCTATCACCATATATTTAGCCCCCTTTACCCTTTACTATCCTCCTACCCCCTTCCCTCTGATAGCTACCACACTGTTGTCTGCATCTACTAGTATGAGCTTCAGTTTTATATCCCACATGAGTGAAATCACATGGTTCTTAGCTTTTTCTGACTTATTTCACTTAGCATAATGTTCTCAAGGTCCATCCATGTTGTCACAAATGGCAGGATTTCATCATTTCTCATGGCTGAGTAGTATTCCATTGTCTATCTGTACCACATCTTCTTTATCCAATGCTCTAGCGAAGGACACTTTGGTTGTCTTCATGTCTTGGCCACTGTGAGTCATACTGCAGTGAGCATAGGGTGCACATATCTTTGAGAATAAATGTTTTCGAGTTTTTCATGTAGATACCCAGAAGAGGGATTGCTGGGTCATATTGGTAACTCTATTTTTAATTTTTTGAGGAACTGCCATACTGTTTTCCATAGTGGCTGTACCAATTTATAGTAATATTAATTCACCCATGAAGGTAGAACAATAATGATGAAAGAACCTGTTATTGATGCTCACCGTGCTTTGGGCTCATTGGTGAGACCATATGAGGTAGAGATCATTATTATCCCCACTTTTCAGGTGAGGATGGAATTTAATGAACTTCCCAAATACATATGCCTCATAAGTGGTAAAGATGAGACTTAGCCCAAGTCTTCTCACTCCTTGGTCTGCACGTGTAGCCACTATGCTGGTTATACATGCAGACCAAATATTCTACATACTATCACAATCACTTTCAGAGAGCATAGTAAACAAACAAAAAAAGTAGTAAGTCATCTTTTATAGTTATATGTGGTCATTTCTGTTAATAATGACCAGGTACAAATGTGCAGTAGTATTTGCTCTATTGCTGCAGTTCACCTGCATATCTGGTGCTCTTGCTTCCTTCCTAATTCCCATCTACTCCATTTATTTCCATGGCCCAACCCACAACCAACTGTGTGTACACTGACTCATGGTGGAGAGCCATGACTGCAACCTCACTTTCATTAACCGAAATGAAGCCTCAACTCCAAGCCATCTGGAAAGTGACAGTTGAGGTCACAATTATAGTGGAAGGTTGGAAAAAGGAGGAAGATGAGGGAAGACAAGGAATGTTATAGATTTCAAAATATAGATGCCCCACTAACGGGGACTGTATCTTGTTAGGTCAATGAGTTAGTGCTTTTTGAATGTTGGGCATATGTAGATGGAGCCAATGAACCATGGGTTGCTCTATCACTGAGAGCTGTCATTTACATTACATTGACATTTTACCACCAGGCAAACTTAGATTTTCCAAAAGAAAGCATCCATAGACATTTGTCCAATTTTAAATTACAGGCCAAATTAAGCTAACTGAACCCATGTCCTCTTATTACTGTGATTCTGAGGTCATGTTACAAGGCTGTGCCCTTCCCATGCCCAAGGATAGATGTGGGCATGGCTTTTATTTTTGTGGAGCTCGCTCCAAGGGCACCAGACAGGGCTGGGCAACTCATGCCACTGCTCGATCTGTGGCTTCAGAAGTTGGCGGCATCTCATACCAGCCTACTGAATTTGAATCTTTTCAGATCTCTTATTAAGTCACTCATATAAAAGTAAGTTATTTTTTTCTTATTAAATCACTGAACCATTTGCTGTTAGCAGTTGCTAAGATAGTAAAAGAGCAAACTTCAGAATAAATTTATTTTGTACACAAACATGGAGCAGATATCATTTGAAACCTGGTTAGGTTAAGCAATCATCCCTGGAAAGACTGCCTTCCAGGGTGTGGCTCAGCTACTACACTAGGGCCTTGGTTTACTGTGATTCTTAAACTGTATTGAGTATCAGAATTGCCTGGAAGGCGGGTGAAAACATAGATAGCTGGGAACCTGCCCCCCTCCTGGAGAGTTTCGGGCAGTAGGTGGTTGGGCCCTGAAATTATCATTTTTAACACATTCCTGAGTGATGCTGACCTGGCTTCTCTGGGGACTAGAAGCTCAGCATCCTTTGATATGACAGGGTTTATAGCTTGCCAGACATCAATACAGAATTTTATTAACAAATTAATGACATTCTTTTGAATTGTTCATGTTTCATGTTGAGTCCCAAGTCAGGAATAAAAGCAATGCCTCAGCTCAAAGCAGTTAGGTAGGAAGTGTTTTACCTTACTCACAGGAGAGTCAGTCTTCATTCTGTTCAGACCTTTAACTGATTGGGTGAGGCCCACCCACATTGAGGAGAGAAAACTGTTTTGCTCATTCTACTAATTCAAATGCCAATCTCATCCAGAAACACCGTCACAGGAACACCACACCCAGGGTAATGTGCAACCAAGTACCTGGGCACCCTGTGGCCTAGTCAAGTTGACACATAAAATGATTACATTGGGCTTTCTTAAAAGCCTGCCTACAGAGTTATGACACAGAGTACATGTTTTATTTCGTAAAGAGTAGGGAAACTTCTATATTTTTTGTTCATATTCCAGTTCAATGATTTGCATAGTAGAATATGATCTTGTCAGTTATTTAATAGCTACATTCTTCCTTTCTAATCCCTAAGTAGATAAAAAGTTGCAAGACTAAACTAAATCATTCTGAAAACAAAAACTAACTGGGGAAATAGTACCACAGCACCATGATTTGGGACATCTCTGTTTGCCTAGGAATGACTCTCCCACATTATTATTCTACAGAACATTAGTATCAAGTGTTAATATGTACAAAGTGATTCTATGTATTTCTCAATGAAGACATATGGCTGACTTTCAGTCTTTGATGCAATCATATACTGCAATCATGTACTGTATAAATAGACAGCTATTATCATAAAGGGCTAAATGAAAAAATCAAAATGTTTTTAATCCTCACCCAAGAATATTTTTTTTCCTTGGGTGAGGATTAGGTGGAAGGGAGGGAGTAGGTGGGGGAGAGAGAGAGAGAAACATCAATGTGAAAGAGACACATTGATTTGTTGTCTCCTGTATGCTCCCCAGTGGGGCTGAGGATTGAACCTACAACTGAGGTACATTCCCTTGATCGGGAATTGAACCTGAGACCCTTTGGTCTGCAGGCCAACACTTTAACCACTGAGCAAAACCTGCCAAGGTGAAAAAATTAATTTTTAAAACTTGTTTTCCAGACTAAAAAGCTCCCTTGATTGAAATTTTGCTGAGCATCAGGTAGATGAAATATATATATCTTTTTAATCATCATCTATTTTAGTCTGTTGATAACCTAAGAGGCAGCAAATAACTCTGATTTTAGCTTTTTTTTTTTTGCAAAGACATAATTTTTCATTGTGGAAACTATCCAGTTAAGCACAGGATTTCAAGGTCTTAGTGGAATTACTGAGTTATAAGCTTTTCACTCCAACCCAATTAAATAAAATTTATGAAATATTCATTGTGCAGATTGCATAGAAGATAACAAAAGAAAATACTAAGTGGCTCAACAAAATCATTATCAATATACATACTGCTCTGATAAAGTCAAATTTGCCATGGTAATGATTAGACAATATTGTCCCATGACTGTGGATTCTTTTCCAAAGTATATTCTTTGTTGATTTTTGGACAATATCAATTATTTCCCCAAATAAAATAAGTTACAAGGTAAGTTACAAGGTACTTAAACAATACAGTCTAAAATTAACTGAATCACCATTACTCAGCATTCAAGTGTGAGCAGATACAAAAAAAATGGAAATTGCAAAACTTCTGTGTAATCTTGCTGATGCCAAAACATGGTAAAGATTATTATAAATTTGTTCAATATGTTCCAATGTATGGTGATTCAAGTTAATTGTGTCATATTTTGGTGAATATATCATGTTTAAACAATGGAGAGGTTATGTAGTATATGTTTTATCAAAGAATGCTGTTTATTAATAAAATTCTGTACTCCTGTATGGCAAAAGGAACTCTGTTGTATCAAGCAATGTCGTATCCAACTCTGCTCAGAGATAACTTGTGGTTTTCATGCCGGTGCACAGGATCCTATGGGTGTACCCTGGGTTAAGGAACATTCCTAACATTCTTCATTACTTTTATTTAACACACACACACATACACCCACACACACACATTATCAGAGAGCATTGAGCGTCCAAGTGTTGTAGGAATAATGTAACTTTGAATTTGCCTCTGCTCTATACTAATTGCAAATCATTTGCTAAGCCTGGATATTTCAGCTATTAGTTAAAAATGATGTGGAGCATAGCTTACACATTTCGAAATTGCTGCTCCAAAAAGTGCTACCACTGGCCCCACCCTCAGGAAGCAACAACTGACAAACATCAGTTCCACTACAGAGATTTACATACCTGTGAGCCTAGGGAGGCAGGAAAAGAGGGCAAGAAGAGGTGAATACAAGAAGATGCAATGTATGATCGATCAGCACTCACAACTTTAAAATTACTTAACACAGAACCACTGCTCTTGGAGGAGGAGACCCATGAGGAAAGGGACTATATTTAATCCCTATCATGCTCCCCCAAGTAGCCAATTCGGAGTCATAGCCTGTGCTCCATAAATTCTTGTAACTAATTTTAACATAGAGTAAAAGCCCACTATGACACATGTTTGTATGTTGCTTTGCCTTAGATGGTAGTAAGTACAGAGTACATTTCTCTAACTTTAGCATAAAATGGCCTGTGCATATTTTTTATGATAAGGGGTTCTGCTTGTAAAAATCAAAGCAGGTCAACAGCAGATGACCTCATTTATTTACTTCATAAGCCTCTACTGCTTTTAGAATAGTATCTGGTGATTTCAATTACGTCGTCAATCAGTTTGGTCCGCAAACCATGGTTCTGGGAAATCCACTGTATTCTAATGAACGCTTTTTTGAGCTCTGTGAGGATTTACACTCTAGAGATGAGGAATCTTACGATTTTTGCGTTTAAGGAGCCAAGTGCAGGGGAAGTGCGGGGCATCTCCTGCTATCTGTATGTCTAAGGCATCTGGAAATAAGGTTGCAGGAGACCTACTTGGTCTTGGCTTGGGCAGTAGAGGCCCCCCAGTTAGCTATCCCGTCCCCCTCTCCCACGCATTGGGCCTGGGGAGGTAGAGGTGGAGATGGCAGACTGGGGCAGGGGGAGAGTTAGGGCTGGTGGCGGGAAGATTGGGGGGGAAACAATCTACTGATTTTGGAAATCTGTCCGAGCCTACTTAACAGGGTGTTTAATCACAATAAGGACTCCTGTTTGTGGTGAAGATTGGACCCAAGGCCTAAATGACATGGATAAGTATCATTTAAAAAGAAAATGTTGTAAAGCTCCTCTTTTCTCTTTCTATTTTTTAAGGACAAGAGAGAAAAACACAATGGAAAAGACGCTACTGTGGTTGATCTTTTTCACGCTTGGGTGGCCCCTCACTGATGGATCAGAGATGGAGCAGGATTTTATGTGGCATCTGAGAAAAGTACCCCGGGTTGTCAGTGACAGGACTTTCCATCTCACCAGCCCCACGTTTGAGGCCGATGCCAAGATGGTGTTAAAGAAAGTGTGTGGCATCGAGTGCCAAAAAGAGCTCCCAGCTCCCAGCCTCTCTGACCTGGAAGATTCTCTCTCCTATGAGACTGTCTTTGAGAATGGCACCCGGACCTTGACCAGAGTGAAAGTGCAAGGTCTGGTCCTGGAGCCCACGCCAAACACCACCGCCAGAGGGGTATCGGCCAGGAGAAAGAGGCAGGTGTATGGCACAGACAGCCGGTTCAGCATCTTGGACAAAAGATTCCTCACCAACTTCCCTTTCAACACCGCCGTGAAGCTGTCCACGGGCTGCAGTGGCGTTCTCGTGTCCCCCAAGCACGTTCTGACCGCCGCCCACTGTGTGCACGACGGGAAGGACTATGTGAAAGGGAGTAGGAAGCTGAGGGTAGGGCTGCTGAAGATGAGAAATAAAGGAGGTGGCAAGAGACGTAGGGGTTCCAGGAGGAGCAGGAGAGAAGCCAATGGTGATGACCAAAGGGAGGGCAGCAAAGAGAATCTGAAGGAGACAGGCAAGGCTGCAAGGAGGAGAAAGAACTCTGCTGGGGGTCAGAGGGGCGCTGAGGGCGGGCCCTCCTTCCAGTGGACCCGCGTCAAGAACACCCACATCCCCAAAGGCTGGGCCACGGGAGGGAGAGGGGCCGCCGCCTTGGACTACGACTACGCTCTTCTGGAGCTGAAACGCGCTCACAAAAAGAAATACATGGACCTAGGAATCAGCCCGGCCCTCAGGAGGCTGCCCGGGGGCATGATCCACTTCTCCGGCTTTGATCAGGACAGAGCTGATCAGCTGGTCTACCGGTTTTGCAGCGTGTCCGAGGAGTCCAGTGATCTCCTCTATCAATACTGCGATGCCCAGCCGGGCTCCACCGGCTCCGGGGTCTACCTGCGTCTGAAAGAGCCAGACAAGCATTGGAAGCGCAAGATCATCGCGGTCTATTCCGGCCACCAGTGGGTGGACGTGCAGGGCGAGCAGAAGGACTACAACGTGGCGGTGCGCATCACGCCCCTCAAGTACGCCCAGCTGTGCCTCTGGATCCGCGGGGAGGACGCCGACTGTGCTTACGGGTAACGGGACCCCGAAACCAGGCCGCGGACGACCTAAGTCGCAGGGGAAACCAGTTCCGATGATTGTAGCAAGACCACCTCACGGAGTGTGCCTGGACACGAACTCTATTAATAGCATTTCAATATTTTTATAAATTTACTTTTGTCCAAAGGAGGAGATTTTCCTGCATGTAAAACCGTTTGGGTAAAGTTATTGATGGGCATTTCCATGCCAAGTATATATTCTTCTTCACATGGTGGTAAGTTTGGTTTGTGCAAAATAATTTTTTTTCCTGCTAGCCTTCTTAAAAATTAGACACTCTTTAAACCTTCAAGCTGGTCCTATAAACAATGTGATTTCTCAATGGAGTTATTCTCAGGGTCCTACCCCAAGAAGAATCTACTGTGGTGCTGGGCGCCAATTGAAGGTGAAACGGCAGATACAGAGGCGGACAGGCACATTTCAAATCGAATTAGAGACAAACATTCACGACAGTTAGGACTACTCTGAGATGGACCCATTCAGTGCATGCCCTCAGTGTTTATATTGCTTTCTCTTGGGTCTGAGAAACTTTAGTTTTTTGTTCGTTTTGTTTTTTAAAGAATTACAAGGAATAGCTTTATCAACAAAACTGTCACCTATCGTACTGCTTTGAAAAATATCGACTGAAGCGTGTATAGTTTAAAATGAAAGAAATACTTCATCCTAGGAAATAAATCTAGTTTAAAAATAGGGAAGCTGAGTATGGGAGGGGGGTTCTCTCTTCCCGCGGCCAGCACAGAGAGAGAGAACGCAAGGGTTGATGAATCTTGATTAGAACGCGACGAGGTTTAAGGAAAAGTGAAAAGACAGACACAACAATAGAGTAAAAGCTGGGCCTGGGTGTGGCATCTGCCCTCTGATGGAGGGACAGACGCAGAGAAACGCAGGGAAGGAGTTTATTAAATACTCGAATAACAGGAAGTTACATCACATCTGGGTGGGCCTTGAGTTCCTGGCGACATCATGAGATCCATCCCCTTAACACTGGGCGGGAAGGTCAAAACTGAGTGGTGTCCCAGTCTGACGACCGGTCCGCCCCCAGGGCGTGGCTCTGCCTTCGCTCTGAGTTTCATCCCACAGTTTTAAACCAAGTGTTTTTGCCAGCGGCCCTTAACAGCTGAGACCTTTTAAGATCTCAAGCTTTTATTTAACTAGTGTTCTAACCATGGGCTTTTCATGCATGCACAGGGGAGACAGCTCCACAGTTGTATATGGCCTTGCATTTGAAAGGCACATCACTTTATGCTACACAGTCTCCCGTGTGTTTTTAGGACAAGCAATTCTCGTCTTTCTCAAGCGAGAGTCTTTTTTCCCCTTGACAAAATTCAGCTTTCTTCATAGGGCCTTAGGCGTATTATTTTTGGCGAATTCTCTGAGTAGTAATTTTAAATAGCTTCCTTAAAATGAATATGATCTAAGAATACTTTTACAAAGAAGGTTCGGATTATTTTCATTAGGGACCAAGGCTGTTCACTCACTCTGGCCATCATGGCAGCCTCAGCAGACAGAGTCCACCGGTTGCCCTGGGGCACTTGATACCTATTTCCTGAATGGTTATAAAAGGGCATTAGTTCAGGCTCTTATTTATTACTCTTTTTTTTTTTTTATTAATCCTCAACCAACGATATATTTTTCATTGATTCTAGAGAGAGAAACATTGATCGGTTGGTTGCCTCATGCCTGAGCCCCGACCAGGGACAGAACCTGCAACCTGGGTATGTGTCCTGACCGGTAATCAAACCCATGAACCTTTGGTGCACAGGATGACGCTCTACCCACTGAGCAACACTGGCCAGGGCCAGGCCTTTATTTCCAAGGGGTTTTAGTAATTTGTAGGTGAATGAACCATGAAATTCAGGAACTACCGGCCTAATCTCTGGTCTGCTCTTCCTGGCAGTTTCGAGGGAACACATTCTCTTCTGTCATGACACACCCAAGTTACTGATTTTGCCAGAGCTCAAATTTATTTTATTTGTTATTATTATTTTTATGAATGGGGAGTTAAATCCTTGATTAGTATGCATAGGAATATCTGATCAGCTTATGATAAAATGGTTTGTAAATTGTGTCCAAAACAGCTGAAATTCAACACAAGTGTACGTTCTTTTATGTGAGTTGGTGAAAAAAATCATTCAATAAAAAATTTTAAAAGTAAATCAGTTATAACTATTATTGTGTTTGTATATATTTTTATGAAGGGTTTCAGCAAGTATTAAATCAACTGTCATTTACTTAAAAATGGTTCTCTTTCATTCTAACCACATTTCACTAAGTAGTATTTTATTATTGGCACTAGTGGAACAGGGCTACTGACTCAAAAGATTTGTTCAGATCTTTTTTGAAAAATCATCTATATGATCATTGCAACTAAAGATGTTTCCAGGTGAATTTTGCACACTTATTGCAAACATGCACACACAAAACTTCATCTTAGATGCTTACAAAATAATTCCTGGGATTTGTAAATTCAGAGTAATTTAGGGTGTTTAGTGTCAGTAGTTTGGTGTTTAAGGTTAAATTCTGACTACACATAATCTCCTTAAAATCATTGTACTTTTCAAAAATATAACATGTAGCTCATTTTCTTTGCAGAACTTTATTTGATTCTCCCATTCTCTTATCTTTTCTAACTGAATGATGAATCGATGGCGAATTCTTCTCATCAGATGGGGTCGCTGCATAGGATACACAGTTTTTTTATCTACTTATCATATACCAAAGGGGAGAAAACACCCTCAAATGGTTTTCTAAAGTCTAGGGAGGAAAATTCCCTTTTCACTTCTTTCTGTAATTAATAACTGGAAGTTGCATCCTGTGCATATGGTGTCTTAAAATAATTTGTATTCCCAATTTGGGCTAATTTGCTTCACCCACAGGTGAGGTGTTGTCTTAATCTGCTCGCTATCATAACAAAATATCATAGACTGGTGGCTTAAACAATAGAAATTGATTTCTCACAGTTTTGAAGGCTGGGGATTTCGGCAAGGTAGGTTTCTGAAGCCCCTTTTCTTGGTTTGGAGGCCGCCGTCTTGCAGTGTGCTCCCACGCCCTCTTCTCTGTTCACTCTCAGAGAGAGAGCTGTGAGCTCTTTGGTGGTGTCTCTTCATAAGGGGACTAATCCCCACCATGAGGGCTCTACCCTGGTGACCCCACCTAGCCCCAATGACCTCATTCAGGCCCCGTTTTTTTGGGTAGGGCTTCAACATATGAATTGGGGGTGGGGGTAGCACACAAACATTCAGTCCATAATAGGTGTCTATTCTAAACCCACAAGTTGCATCTTGGGCCAGGCCCAGGGAACTCACAAACATCCCAGTCACCAGAGGAACTAGCTATGAATGGCAGCTCAGGCCAACCAATCGCCTTCTTCCCACTTTCATTATCATCATCTCAAGTGCTCATACCTGGGACATAGATGGCAATTAATATATGCTTAAAGTATCAAGTATTCATTGAAGGCATTATTTACTCTCTGCTAGATGATAAGCCTTCAAATAATTAGAGCTATTATCTTAAGTGTATATTGTATTAAAGATAAAGCTACATATCTAAATAATGGAAATACTTCTCATAATGAGAATTTTACTCTCAGAATATTGTGGCACTTAAGGAATCAGATATTTGCCATATTCCCTACTGACTTGTTTGAGTTTCTGATGAGCATGCCTTCAAACTGACAGGTCCCAGGCTCCTGCAGCGACTCCCCATCCTCTCCATCTGCCATGTAAACATTTAATAAGATAAGCTCTGCCTCAGAACATGCCTCCAAAATACTTTTGTTTTAGTAATATTTTAAACGTTCCAATAATATCTTAAGATCCCTTCACTTTTTTCAAGCACTGGGAAGAAGCTGGCTACTTAGAATATCTACTTCAATTCACAATGCAGCCAATATGTGAATTTATTATCTATTTTTACCTTCCAGTATGGTTACCAAACTTTGGCTATGTGAGCACATTTCTATCTATATTTATAAATGTTTTATTAATACTCAAACTTGAACTTGTGTTATTAAAATTCTGTGTATGTATTCATAGCCTGAGAAGTGTGTATACTTTCACACATGTGGCACAGATAAGGGAAATACTTTGGAATCTCTTCATATAACTGAATACAGATGATTTTGAAAAGTTCTAGGCTTTTGCTCAGCCTATCCATTCCTTATTCTTCTCTATAGACATATGAAAGCATACCAATATATTATGCTTATAATGATTGCGTAATCAATATAACATTTAGTTCTGTCCAGTATGAGTTTTGGAGGGCAGTACATTATAGAAAGATTTTCATAAAAAAGCTTAACCTATATTTTAAAAAGTTGTTTAAAAGAAATTATAAAAATAATTTTTAAAAAATGAATAAAAAAAGGGAAACATTAGTGGTCTACAGAATTGACTTGTTTTTCTACTCAAATGCAATTCTAACCTCAAAAGTAAAGAAAAAAATTCTTTCCCCAATATTTTATGAAACCCCCAAAATATTGAATGTTAATGTGTGTTATTGAAAGTTTAGAATTGGCCATACAGCTACACCTGATTTATGCATGCACTTAGCATTGTGGTTTATAGATACACCAACTCTGGTATAATGGAAAAAATTCTGGATGTGGAATAGAAGACCTTTAATTGTCTAACCAGAGCAGACTTGCCTGTATAAAGTAAATGTTCACCAAATAAAATATCCTGACACTTGCAATTAGTTTTCTAAGCTTACAGAAATTACTTAATATAACTGAAAGAAAGACTAGAATATCCTAAGAGCAGAGGTCAGCAATCATTTATCCCAGAACTAGTGTGAGTGTGAGTATGTGTGAGTGTGTGTGCTGCTGGCCCTCTTGGGAGGATTGGGGTGATACAACTCTTGTTTTCTCAAAATAGTCATCTTCCCCTCTCCACCGCTGTTACTCCTAAACTTCCAGCTACAGGCGTTTAGCTAGCAAACAATGCAATGCTCTTCTAAGAACTGCCCATTAAGGAGTTTATCTCTTCTCAGCTGGAAGAACAATTCAGGGACTTCCCAAGAACAATCCCTAGAGTACTGAGGCCCCTGGCAGATAAGGAGAAGCCCCTTCCTGCTCCATGCACCCACCCCTTACCCGTCTTCCCCTTCCCATTAATTGACAGGAGTCAAAACTTTGCAATTTTGTTTTCCTTAGAATTTAAACTAGTGCTACTGACCCAGACACCAGATCGTAAAACACCACAAATCTCAGGATATAAGAGAAAAGAACATACTAATACACAGTAGAGAGTTCTGGGAGGATGTGAGAATTTTTTCCTTAAAACTACTTTCAATGGATCAGTTGTTAGACAAATTTGCAGCCAACAACTTAGAAGATACAACTTTTAAATTCTTCAAAAACATTTCTTTGCAATACCTACACAAGTGCTGTTTGTTTTCTTTCTTTTAAAAATCAGGATTGGCTTGGTGCAAAGATCCTACTGCCAAACAAAAGTACCACTTCATGAAGCAATTGCCTGAAAATAAAAGTGTGTTATTTTTGAGACAACTGGATTTAGTCTTTTGCCACTGTACTTGAAACATTTACTTTAAAAGGCATTCTTTGTGGCCTGGGAAAGTAAGTGACACTATTGTACCCACCAAATGGGCAGTGGTGCCACTTCTTGTGGATGGTCCGTGACTGATGTGGTTCCCTAATCGGATGTCCAGGGCAACCGTCAGCCCGCAAATAGCAGCATGTCTCTCGTGCACATATTCCCAGATGAAAGCTTGGGTTTCGGTGAAAACTAGTGTATCATTATGCTACACGGACCACCTTTTTATAATCTGCAACTAAATGTGTTAATTTTTAGGCTAGGTCAATCAAAATACTCTTTGTGGCTTTCCTATTTTAAAGAATTTGGAAATGTTCTCTTTTGCTGGAATCATCTGTGTCTTTCCAATAGAGCTACATATTCAGAGTCCACTGGATTTATGATATTTCAATGGTTTCCCTTAGCCTAGTGGTTTCTGAATTTGGCTGCTCATTGAAATAACCTAGGGAATTATTTCAGAAAGCCCGTTTCCAGGGCCTCACCGAAATCTTCCCTGCAGTCTCTCAGTGTGAAGCGCAGACGTCTATATTTGATAAAGTTCTCCAAATACGTACGACGATCACCCAGGTTTGGGAACCACTATCATAACCTATCTTTCCTAAACTGATTGTTCTTCCACCTCACACAGTTCTCCCTCTGCGCACAATATTTTTCTTTTTCTTTCAAGTTAAATGTTTTCTCAGTTTTACCTGCCTTCATGTTTTTTCTTGTAAACTCCTTCCAGTATGTTGGTGAGGAAAATGGTGACAAAACTATCAAATGCATAGGTGGGATTCTTTTCAGCACATTTTTTAAATGCCCTCACATTTTTATTTTATACACTTGTCTTAGCATTTCTTCCAAAGATTCCTAAAGGGAGACTGTTGGTCAAAAGCTTTGTTCATTATATGTCCTAATAGCTACTGACGATTGTGTACGTCCCAAAAAATCTTTTGCCTTTCTTCACTTTTTAAAAGTACAATAAATAACATGAAAGCTAGAGATCAATGGAGACACTGAGAACCACTTGCAATCATTACACCATATAGAAAGTGATTCAAATCTTCAGCTTAAGATGGTGTGTTTTTAAAAAATCCTCACCTGAGGATTTTTCCATGGATTTTACAGAATGGAAGGGGAGGGAGGAGATAGATAGAGAGAGAGAGAGATAAACTTCTATGTGAGAGAGACATATTGATTGGTTGCCTTTTGCACATGCACTGACCTGGCCACATTGAACCTGCAACCCAGGTATGTGCCCTTGACTGGGAATAGAACCTGCGGCCCTTAGGTGTCTGGGATGACGCTCTAACTGCTGAGCCAAACCGGCCAAGGCAAGATGGGTTTTAATTAGTGTTAGTTCTTTTATTACAGTAAGCTGAAAAAGAATTATTAAAACTCTAATACCATCTATATCAGTGGTTCTCAACATTCTTATTGCCGCGACCCTTTAATACAGCTCCTCATGTTGTGGTGACCCCCAACCATAAAATTATTTTTGTTGCTACTTCATAACTGTAATTTTGCTGCTGTTATGAATCGTAATGTAAATATCTGATATGCAGGATGTATTTTCATTGTTACAAATTGAACATAATTAAAGCATAGTGATTAATCACAAAAACAATATGTAATTATATATTCAATATGTGTTTTCCGATGGTCTTAGGCGACCCCTGTGAAAGGGTTGTTCAACAACCAAAGGGGTCGCGACCCACAGGTTGAGAACCGCTGATCTATATGTATGTAAAAAGCCAGTGACCAGAATGCCTTAACGTAACGACCAGAATGACTGGTTACTATGACGTCCACTGCGGCCAGTGAACTGGCCTGATCGGGGGGGCGGGGCCAGCTGGCCAACCTCCTGCAGCCCCTCCCCCAGCCCGGCTCCACCCTAGATTGGCCCCCCCACCCTGATCAGGGGCAGGGTTGGCCAGCAACACCCATAGCTCTCCCCCAGGCTGCTGGCCCCTATCCGCCGGGGCTATGGGTGGTTGGCTGGCCAGCCCTGCCCCAATCACCATGGTCCCTCCCCCCAGCTGGCCCAACCCCGATCTGCCCCGATTGGGACCAGGCTGGCTGGACCCCACCCGTGCATGAATCTGTGCACTGGGCCTCTAGTTTCACAATAAAAGCACTATGCAAGTTATTCTTCAGTTATCAGAAATGTGATAGTAGCCCAGCAGTATCTAGACAGGTGAAGAGACCTTTAAGAACTAACATACTGTGTTCATCCTTCAGACACTTACCTGGCACTTACTCAGGTGCTCATTGCTGAGGAGATGAACAGGGGGAGACATTTCCTGCCTTTGAGGCTCACAGTCAGCCAAAACAGATGCCATCTTCACAGTTGATTATAACACAACTAGAGGCCCAGTGCACAAAATTCATGCAGGGTAGGGTCCCCGGGCCTGGCCTGCGGTCAGGGCTGATCTTCCCTGGCTGCTGGCAGCCAGCCCTGCCCCCCACCATTGGTTGCACTCTGTGTGTGGGGCGACCAGGGGGGACGATTGGGGCCCCAGCACCACCCGGGTCCGCCGCCACCCCCCCCACCCCCCAGTTCCTGGTTCCCCATCGGGCAATCGGGGCCTGCAAACTGGGGGCAGCTCCTGTGTTGAGCATCTGCCCCCCAGTGGTCAGTGCGCATCATAGCCAACCAGTCGTTCTGTCGTCTGGTCGATTTGCATATTGTGCTTTTATATATATAGATATGTTAAATGCCATAAAGGCTGTTGAAAATTGTGCTCTGAGAAGAACAGGGTGAGGAGTCATGATGGACAAGAGGAATTCAGCTGCACTGGTGGGGTTGGTGAGGTAATTTCAGCAGAGGGCCCTGTGTGGGCCAGCAGAGTGCTTGGTGTCCCCTGGCATGAGTGGTGGTGTGGTCACACACAGAACAGTGTGCTGGTGCACTTGTGTGCACACAGGCACAGGGTGGAGTTGAAGCAGAGGTGAGGTTAGAAAGGCACATTGACCGTGTGCAGGGACACCATAAGTAAATTGGACCTGAGCTGAAAATTATCCAGAGAGTTTAAGTTTTTGAGTGCCCAGCGGACCTCACCCAGCATCTCAGCTGTGAGACAATTCCCCTCCAAGGACACCATGACACTCACCAATGGAGGACTCTTGTCCAATGGAAGAAAAGCTTCTTTTTTAAAAATTCAATATTAAACTTAAAATGATTTACAATCTAATACAACATTTCTATTACAATATGCCCACAAAGGAATATAGGATCAAATGTAATCTATAAAAAGTATATATATTATCAGATACTAGCTTCTGAAAGTCACTCCCCAAGACACAAAACTAGGTAACTAAGAGAAAGTTAGTTTTAGAAATAAGGGTATGCTTCCATTTGAGAAATATTTCCATTGAGATTGGACTACTTTTTGAAAAAATTACTTGGAACACCTAGTTGTAGGCATAAAGCCACCCAATTTTGTTAAAACAGGCTAATCTACATTTTGTGCCTGAGTGACCATGCATGCAAGTGTGTGAATAAAGTTACATTATTCGCCAACTTCTATGGGGAATTCTCACAAAACCATTATGGATTTAATTGCATGTTTTAAAAGAAAAGTTCATCCTCTTCTGTTTTGGAATATGGAATTTCAGGTTAGGGGGCAGCAGCCAGAGTCCCAAATTTAATGATAGCTGATTAAAATTGTTCTTTTTCCCCTTATTTTTAATTTATTGTAAAGTTATCAAAACTATACTCACATGGACAGCATTTCTCACCCTGAATGTTTTAAAATTTTTAATATTTTGTATGTGTGTGTCATTGGAAACAGATTTTTTCCACCCCTAAAAAAAAGAGTGAGAAAAAGATTATGTTTGCATTTTCTTTGTTCAAGATGTTTATTGCATCTCAGAGGGCATACATGCATTGGGTTTTTAAACTGAAATACAAAGAAAGCCATTTTGAAATTGGTTTTAGGTAATTTTTCCCCATTACAGTGTATGTTATCCCCACAATAAATTCAGATACAACCACTTTAAAATGGTACCATACACCTATTAAATAATCTGAAAAATAGGCAAACACCTTTCCAACCCAATATGCTTTTACAAAGAGCTGCCAAGCCACTAGCAACACTGATCAACAGTGACCTCATTTATGCATCGAAATCTTAAGCCAAGCCATCAGCACAGACAGTGTGACAACAAATTAAAAAGTAAAGAATACAGTATGTACAGTAAAGGATACAATTTTCTGAATCAGTTTAAATTCTAATCACAATGGTACAACAAAACCTACTTTGAGCTCGGTTGAGGGATGGAAGAACACTAGTCTACAGAACACACAGAGAAATACTAAATTAACAGGTGTACATAAAATTCACAATAAAGTCAAATATTTGCAGCAATTTTTCAATTACAGATATACCTTGGGGTGCCTTCATAATATCACTTGAATAGCACATCTCCAATTGCACTTGTATGGACATGATAGAAACAGACCCTTGACTTTTCAGTGCATTTAATCAAGAATGAATAAATAGGCCAATTTAGATGCAAAACCTGTCAAATATAATTAAAATATAGATTTTAATATAGCAGTGATTAAATAGGGAATTCTCACATTTTTTTCATTCTTGATAAGGTAGCTTCAAGGAGAAATATTTATTATGGACATTAACCTTTATATTTTTTAAAATAAAATTTCTTAACATATACAGTGCCACAAAAATAAACATTTCTCACAACAGTTGAAGTTCCCGTGATTGGAAAAATGTATTCCACACCGAAAAAAGTTCTGTATATTTAAGTGTTTTCCTTACTATTTGATATTATCACACTATTCCTGTAACAGAGATGCAGAAGAAAAGAGAATTTATGGAGAGTTTAGGTTTGTCCAAAAGTTATATATACATTGAAACCTTCAAAAACACAGACACATCTTTCCAAATGGCTCACCACACAACAGCTGCATCATCCGTCCATGGGCGAGGTCAGAAAAGCACTAAGGGCATGAGAAACATCCACTCATTGTTTACATCATACAACACACAAATAACCCAAATACACTACAAGTCTGAGAGCAGGGATAACAGCGAAGGGAGTACACATTCCTAAGGTTCACTTTCACAGCTGTGCTACACGTTTCAGGAGAGAAGTTATGAGTAAGCATTGGGTTTGGTACTGGTGGCTCACTTTGTAAGTCTGAGCATCAATCTTATCTGAAGTCTCCAAACTCATTATTTTTTTTCCTATTCAGTCACAAAAATTGCAGCTGTAAAGATAAAAAGCACTTGAATTAAAAAACAGTATTACATACTCTTCAAGCATTTTATTTATCTCACTTGCAATTTTACTTCATAGGTAGTATAAAAAATCTTTATGCAAAACGTTTCTATATTACAAGATTCACCTTCATCTACCTTTAGCCATTCTCTAAAATGAGCTTAAGATTTCAGCCAGGAAATAAAAAAGCCCGCACATTTTAATGTATAGTTTTGTTTTAGAAAAAAATTATATCAGCAGAATTTTGGAATTCGGATACTTAAAAACCTTAATAGTAAGACATTCAGTTTCAATTAAGAACAGCTAACGTTTAGAAAAGAGCAGTGAAAAAAAGGGAATGGCAGGGACTTCTATTATTATTGTTGTTGTTGTTACTATTAATTTATTTTTAGTTATGGTGCTCAATGTGTCATCCAACGGTTAAACAAGTGACAGAATAGAAGAGAAAGAAGATATTCTTGGTGACTCAATGCCTTCATTTACTCTACTCCCACCCATACTTCACCAGTCATCTTTGCCATGAACCCTTGCTTGGGTCTTTAAAGCTTGGCCCTGTGGGTAACTCTTCACAAAACAGTCAGTGTGTGTCTTCCTCTTGACTGTGAATCCCTGAGGGACTGTTTCAAGGATCTCTGTTTTGGGTATTTAACAGCATTCCTGACATATGATAAGAGCAATATTCACTGAGTAACAGGCAGAAACAAAAGGCTGCTCTGTGCAATGTCCTTGGTCCCTCCTGGAATTTCAATTGCTCATTGTCTTACCTATGCCTCCATCAGCCCAGTCCAACCCAAAGTGGAATATAAAAGGGACAAGAGAAATTACTTGGCTGAGATGTCAAAGTTTTAAATGATTAACTTTGTATAAGAAAAGAAATAAAGCAGTAATTTAAAAAATCTTAGTGGGCATTAGAGAAAGTTTAAAAATATACAGATATAAATGCATAATGAAAATAACACTGGGTAGTGGTCCAAAAGTTCAGCACTCTGCTCCTCCAGCGTGACCTTGGGCTAATCATCTGATGCCAAGTGTCAGTTTCTTTAGCTGTGAAATGAGACTTTCTGGCTAGTTTATCTCACTGGGTTTGATCTCCTACAGAGAAGATCAAAGAAGATAATGACTGAGAGGGGCAGGGAAAGTACTGAAAATAATGAAAAGCAGCATTATTACTGCTCATCACACCCAGCAAGTATTTGTTGAGAACCTCCCCACTGTGTAAGGTGCTGGGGTGAACAGTCAACTTTCCTGCATCATAATAAGTTCACTATTAATCACTTCATATTATGTTAGGAATTTAAAACTAGAATGTTAAAATTTAAAAATTCTACTCGAATGTAGAAAAGCAAAGGGTAATAATCTAAGTTTTACTTGATGAGGCCAAGAAAGGCTGAAGAATATAAAAATACAGTATGTAGCCAAGTATATTCTTAGGTGATTTCTAAATACAATATCATAAATGTTACCTTTATATAAATTTCAGTCACAATTTACCAAGTAGCTTGAACAACTTTCTGCTTTATCAGTATAATATCTATGCTTTCCGGTCTAAGGACAATTTGGAGATTTGTTTTTCTCTTAGTTTTATAAATTAAGTAAGATTTTTAAAAAATCATTGATAATTCATTAATAGCTTTTAACATTGATTTAAAATATAAATACTCAAATTATCATTATCATATACATATATTAAAAACACAGAAGTACAAATATCATACCTGAAATAGCTAAGCATTGCACAGGTAAATATTACAAGCCCACAGGAAAAGCTCAATATTAGATACCTTAAATTGTTTACAAGAAATCCTTGATGTTAAGATCCGCTAATGGGTCCTTTGCTGGAGGTTTCTTGGGACTCTGAGTGGCAGGTGTAGGGCTTGGAGAAAGCTAATGGGGAAATGCCAGCCCCAGAGAGAAGAAATAGAAAGCAAACAAGAAAGACAGATAAGCATTAGGCCGAGCACGCACCACAGAAAACACACATGCAGAAGATTAGATGGCTAAGGGTTTACAAAATCGACTTTGTTCTACTTAGTCACAGTGTTGTGCTTAATTTTGGACTTGTAAAATGCACTTCCGATGCTATTTGGCTTTTTTGAAATTCTTTCATATCAGATGCAGCCAAAAAAAAATTGGAGGACTCTGGTAGAACAATATGGATATGAGTTAGAGAAGATGTGAAAGACTAGTCACATAAAGATATTATGAATATACAGTGAGCAAAACAAAATAATCAATTTCTCTGTACAAAAGCATTTTGACTTTGGGTTATTAGTACCACTAATGAAGAAAATTTAAAGGACTTCTTTTATAGGGAAAGTGAGTTTGAAGGAAACATTGAAGAGTAACAGTTTACAGAAAGCCACATAAGAAATTACTTAAAATTATTAGCTAAATATACTAGGATTTCATATAAAGTATTTTAAGTGAAAACCAGTCCAGTTTGAGGCACTGTCTGTCTCAGATGAGCAAACAGTTTCCTGGTTATAAATGTCACTAAATTCCAACATCGCCTGTCCAACTTGCAGAAAAGACTAATTATTCAGCACTATAGGACATAATCATACTGAACTTGCAGAAAAAGCAGCAAAGAATTACTTTACCTGGTGTCTGTTTGACACCTAAATTATTTAATTGTGTGACAGAAATAGGTTCTGGGATCAGGCTTCTGCAGGAATGTTAGGGTACAAGGCCTTGATTTGGTTATGTAAACTATGTAGAATAGTAACCTTTGAGCCTAATTAATCTCCAATGCTCATATGATAGAAACCTCAGAAATATGGGATTTCAGGGCAGGGATGTATGTTTTTATTGGTTCAGTAAACAGCTCCAAGCATTTTCAGATGTGCTCCTATGTCCAGAAACTATTGACTGACTGCAGAATCTGTCAGTCAAATTTCCATTTAAAAAACTCGATTCATACTTCATAGGAAGATCAAGACAAAAATGAGTATAAGGGTTGGAGTTGTTTGGAAGATAAGAAACTCAAGGACTGATTCATAATTAATAATTAGGTGAGATGATAACAACATCATAATACCAACCAACTGAGGAATAATGGGATTGTCCAGGCATCCCATCAGTAATAAAAAGCTGATCTGTTCTCTGAAGCTACAAGTCATGTTTATTATCTAGTATAATCGGCTATGCTTCATCTCTGATATAGGATATACATCTAAAAATTGTATAAGTATGACATGCCATTTCCTAAATTACTATAAATTTGGTTAAATGATTAAAACATCGTTTTCATCATACAATCTACTTCTCAAGTTTATTCTTTGAATTAAGTAAACAAATTGATACTATGTAACACTGGCATTATGCTAAAAAAACAACTACCTGAAATAATAAATAATAATTAATTTATTTGTAAAGTTTTCAGCACACCAAGTTCATAAAAAATAGAAACATTTTCCTTTTTTCAAAAAGGTGGTAAATAGTCATGGATATATTCAACCATCAAGGTAACACACCTGATAAATGAGATCCTTCTTAGAAATTAAAAATATCTAGACTAAATTTAACCTTACTATTATCCACCAAACGTTCCTCACTCTCCCCAAAAAGCAATTCTAGGAAGGGTTCATAATCTCAGATCAGACTAGAACATTTCTCATGCAGACAATGCTTTGGTTATGGCATTGAAGGCCAGGGTTCCTCACATTTTAAATTTATCTCTTTAAACACCTAACACCATTCTCTCTCCTGGCCACTGTGGCTTTTGAGGGATTAAAGTAAAAAAGTTGAAAGTACATTTTGGGGACAGGTAGAAAATGGATTTAAAGATGATTCAAGGAACAAAGGGGATTAATGTACATTCAGAAAGTTCACAGAAGGAATCCTATGGATAAGGCAATATAAATACCCATTGGTAAGTTAAAAATATAGAAGCAAAAACGTTTACTGACATTGTTAAAAGGTATTTGACTTATTTGCTTTAGTTTGCTCAGCATGGTGCTAGCAAAGTTATATCTTGGTGTTCTGACTATATCTAAGTAGGTTTCTCATGGTGCAAACCTCCTTGGTTCTACATACTATACCTCCATCAGGCAATTTTTAAGAGAACTCAAGAAAGGGTGACTCATCAGCATGACTATCAATACTAGCAGCAAAAGCAGTTCTACAAAGTGCACATATTTTAGCACCTATGTTAATGAAGGTAGCACAATGTTTAGTAAGAAACTGGGCCTCACCTAAAGAGAGGTTTGCCTTTTCTCCTGGGTACCCTCTAAACCTTTGCAATTTCCCAAGTGACTTTGTTAGTAAGGTTGGATTTTTGAAAGTACACCTGAAAGTTTATGCTAACAAGATAGCTCAAAGTGGGGGCTAGCCATGACAGAAAAAACCAACCGTGTGATTTGAGAGTTGGGTCACATGATATCGCTCTGAATTTTAGGGAGGAGAGGGGGTGGATAGATTAAGTTCAACCACATTGGCAATAATTCTATTAATCTTTCCTATATAATGAAACTTCAATAAAAACTCTGCACACGTAGCTTTCTGGGTTGGCAATACTGCACGAGTATTGTCACACACTGATGCCAAGTGGGTAAACCCATCCCTGAGGACAAAGAAGCTTCATGCTTGGAACCCGCCCAGAATTCACCCTCTGTATCTCCTTTTGGCTGGATTTAATCTGTATCCTTTCACTATAATAAAACTGTAATTTTAAATTTAGTGCTTTCCTGAGTTCTCTGAGTCATACTAGGAAATTATCTAATCTGAGGGTGGTCCTGGGAACCCTCAAATTTGTAGGCAACTGATCTGAAGTGAACGTGATCCACGAGACTCCCAAACTTGTGGCTGGTGTCTGAAGTGAGGGTAGTCTTATGGGGACTGCTCCCTTAGACATTACAGTTTGGCAAACTCATTGAAGTTAGTGTTACAAGTCTTGGGCAAACTTGGTAGTCTGGAGGACTGTGTCCCTAACCTTGAGTTTGGCTAACTCTGGAAACACATAATAAAACTGTGGATCAGAAGTACTCCTTTTTCTGGAATAAATACATACTTTCAATGCCTAGCTGTCCTCAGGAACCATTCTGAATGAAGTAGGAGAGGAATGGTGGGACTTTAAGACAGGGAGTTATTTCTATCATTTTCCTCTAAACCTCTCAGTATTGCTAGTCTGTCTTCCATGTTCCCTTTACTTCTGAAGCAACGGATAGGATATTAGGTAAACACATGTCAACAGTTTTCCACACGACAGTTTAATACTTAGCAATGAATGTCCTTATTCTGTGGACATTTACACGGACCTGGGTGCCGGGTACAGCTGCAGCTCCAAAGGGTGGCCTCATCATGGGCTGTGCAAACATGACTGGCTGCTGCGGCATCATGGGCATGCCCGTCCCAGCCGGAGGCTGAAAAGGAACAGCGGTTCACAGCATGAGTGGAATCCACTATAGCAAGGCCCTAGCATTTATGTCTTTAATATGCTCCTGAAAAATCCTGAGGACTCCAGGACCAGGAGAAAGTATAATTTGTGCTTCGACGCTGGAGGATGGCAGAGAATCACTGAGGCACAGAAGCGGGGCTGGCCACACAGCATCCTCATCCCAACCAGGCTTTGTTCTGTTTATTTGCCTTCTGTAAGCATAATTCTTAAAGAGATAAAACCTTGTTTCCTTATGGATGATGGCCCTAAAATTTGCTAGTGATGAAAGTGGTAAGTGAAAAGTCCTAGTATAGGGATTAAGAATAGATTATGATGATTGAGCTAAGAATGTTTGATAAATATTACTCCAAAAATAACATAACAATGTACTATAGAAATTATTTTGGTAGAAATAATTTTAACTATTTTGTATGTGACTTTATCATGTCATGTGTAGACTATTAATGTCTACAGCAGATGAGGTAACTTTTAAGTTTTACCTTACTGCATTTTGGGAAGAATTACATTCCATAGCAATATTTTTTAATCTGGGATCGGGCAATTGGGCAACGGCCTTAGAAATGTCAATTACACTTTTTAGTGCAGGTTATCACTCACCATTCCAAACCCTGCTCCTGGTTGTCCAACAGTTGGAGCCCCAGCACCAGGAGGGACTGAACTGGTTGGAGGTACAGCTCCTTGCTACCATAAAAACCACAAGACAAACATATACACAAAATGACAAGACAAAAAAAAGAACCAACATAATTTTGTTTAAAATGACAATATAATTTTAAAATGCATACTCCTTAGGTATATGTAGATATGCAAAGAATTTTCAAATTTTAGTTTCAAATGTTAAAAAATGGGTCTAGCACCACGACAATTATTTGAACATACTTACCAAATTGATGTTCACTGTTGTGCTATTTGAGCTCGTTGGCTAGCTGATGAGTTATAGCATTGGGTTTCCTCTCTACCTCCTTATATATCCCTCTTCCACCCTCATGAAAAATGAGTCAAATTTATCTAAGCTTTTCCTTTTCTCACCTAAGGATACACACTTTCCCAAAAATGTATACACACACTTTTAATAATTATAAAGGCAGTGTGTGTGTGTGTGTGTGTTTGTGAATATATATATATATATATATATATATATATATATATATATATATATATATGTTTTGAGTTTAGAAAAAGAAGAAGGGAGAGGGAGAGGGAGGGAGAGAGGGAAGGAGGGAGGGAGGGAGAGAGAGAGAGAGAGAGATCAATGTAGGAGAGAAACATCAATCAGTTGACTCTCACATGTGCCCTTATTGGGCATCAAACCCACAACCTAGGTATGTGCCCTGACCAGAAATTGAACCCGCAACCTTTTGGTGTATGGGTTGATGCTCCAACCAACTGAGCCACCTAACCAGGGCTCCCCATTTTTAAATTATTCTTTTTTGTGTTATACTTGCTCTTCTCTGACTTGAGTGTTGTACATTTGCACAATTGCCAAAATTCTTAGTTTTAAGAAGCACTTAAAAGACTGCACACACATCCCATTTCAGATACAGGTCTGGTAGTTTTCAGTCATACACCCAAACCCTCTAATATTTCCCCTATGTTTAAAATCAACCATACTGCAATGCCTTAAATTTAAAGTTAACTATTAGAGCAAGATTCTAATTAAAAAATGAAATATTACAGCGATGTCAGCAAACATGGTGAAGTAAGGAACTTTAAAAGCTACCCCCCCCCCCCAAAAAAATGGCTAAACAAGCAAAAAGTTATAATCAACTATTTGGAACTCTGGAAATTAAATAACAGTTTACAGCAACCTAGAAGGTAGTTATTCAGGAATATCAGTCGAATCTTAATAAGAATAGTGAACTTTGAGGCATTTTAACTTATTCTAGTTCCATCCACTGTTTTCTACTTAAGCTGCAGTCTTGAAAATAACAGCACACATTCCCAGTAATATTACCAGAGGGAAGCAGAATATATTTAATTATTTGCTTTGTCTTGTCTGGGTGGATCCCTGGAAAGACTGGCTCAAAAGTTTGTCTTTGTCTTGCCAAACTGGGAATGCACCTAGTGTTAAAGCTGCTAACTTAAGTCACTTGTGGAAAATACTTACAGGCAAATAGTTCAGATGTTGCTGTCTGAGGCAACAGATAACAGTCAGGGCAAATAGTAGACTAAGCAGAAAGCTTGGGAGGAAAGGCTGGAGAACGAGATGCTTTGGGGATTTAGACTTTGAAGAACTTAGACACACTCCTGGAAATTTAGAAAGCCATGTGCATGCCCAGGAAAGGCTTGAGAAGTCCTCTGGCTCACCTTGATGCTTTCAGCAAGCAGTAGGTGATTGCTAAGGTAGAGTTGCAAGCTGCCTGGTGGAGTTTGAAGACATGCTGCAACACTCACTCAGAGCTCCTCTATAAAAGCTAGGAGATATTTTATATTCTGGGGGTTTTATATAATTATCAACTGACCTACATTAAATAAAGAAACAGAGACTTCAATGGTCACACTTGACAAAGAACACAGACTACAGAATTAATTCAGAATGGTCACTAAACAAAAAACAAACAACTAAAAAAGTAGCAACAACAAACCTTTGGGGAAGGGGTAGAATCTGATTTTGAGTTGCCACATTATAATATTCAAAATTCCCAAGTTTCAACAAAAAATTGTGAGGTATACAAATAGGAATTTATAGTTCATATGCAGGAGAGAGATCTCAAATCAATTACTTAAACTTCAATCTTAAGAACAAACTAAATCCAAAGTAAGCAAAGGAAATAATAATAAATATTAGACTAGAGATAAATGAAATAGAGAATAGAAAAACAAAGTAGAAAACAGAAGAAATCAAACTTGAGTCTTTGAAAAGATCAATGAAACAGACAAACTTGCAGTAGACAAACCAAGAAAAAAAGAGTAAAACTCATTAATCAGAATGAGGAATGGAAGTGGAGACATTACTACCAACCTTGTAGAAATAAAAATTATTGTAAAGGAATATTATGATAAATTATATACTAAAACATTAGATAACCTAGATAAGATTATAAAATTCATATAAATACACAAACTACAAGAAGAAATAGAAAGTTTAAATAGATGTATAGTAAGTGAGGAGACTGAGTCAGTAATCAAAAACTTTCACCATAGAAAAGCCCAGAACCAGATAGCTTCACTGGTGAATGTGTTTAAATGTATGAAGGAGAATTGATAGTAATCCTTCTCAAGCTCTCGCTCTAAAAAAGAATATTTCTTAATCATTCTTTGATGCCAATTATTACCCTGATACCTAAGCCAGACAAGAACATCATAGAAAAAGGAAACTACAGATCATTATATTTTATGAACACTGATGCAAAAATTCTCAACAAAATACTAGCATACTGAATCCAGCAACATATTATACACCATGGCCACATGAAGTTTCACCAAGGAATTCAAGGTATGTTCAATCAATGTAATATGTCATATTAATAATTTAAGAAAAAAAATCCCTCATGATCATCTCAGGAGATGCACAAAAGGCGTATGACAAAATCCAACACCCTTTCATGGACACAACAAAACACTCAACAAACTAGGAATAGAAGCAAAATTCCCCAACCTGATAAAAGGCACCTAAGAAGAAACTATGCTTAGCATCATACTTAATATTGAATGACTAAAAGCTTTCTCCTTAATAATTAGACAAAGATATACTGGATGTTCTAATCAGGGCAATTAGGTAAGAAAGAGAAATAAATATCAACCAGGTAAGAATGGAAGAAACATACTTATATGGTCAATTAATCTATGACAAAGGAGGCAAGGATATACAGTCACTTCAGCAAGTGGTGCTGGAAAAATTGGACAGATATTTGCAAAAAATTAAATTGAACTACTTTATTATACCACATACAAAAACAAACACAGAATGGATTAAGTCCTTAAATATAAGACCTTAAATCATAAAACTCCTAGAAGAAAAAATAGACAGTAAACTCCTTGACTTTACTCTTGGCAATATCTTTTTGGATATGTCTCCTTGAACAAAAGAAAAACAAATGTGACTACATCAAGCTAAAAAGTTTTTGCACAGCGAAGGAAACCACCAACAAAACAAAGAGACAAGCTACTGAATGGGAGAACATATTTTCCAATGATACATATGATGAAAGGGCAAAAGATGTGAACAGACATTTCTCTAAAGAGGACATACAAATGGTCAATAGACATATGCAAAGATGCTCAACATCACTAATCATCAGGGAATGCAAGTTAAAACCACAATGGGATATCACCTCCCACCTGTCAGAAAGGCTACCATCAATAAATCAACAAACAAAAAGTGTGGGTGAGGATGTGAAGAAAAGGGAACTCTTGTGCACTGTTGGTGAGACTGTAAACTGGTGCAGCAACTGTGGAAAAGAGTATGGAGGCTCCTTTAAAATTTTAAAATAAAGCTTCCACATGAGTCAGCAATTCTACTTCTGGGTATTTATCTGAAGAAACCAAAACACTAATTTGCAAAGATATATGCCTCCCATGTTCACTGCAGATTTACTAGTTATAGCCAAGATATGGAAGTAAACTAGATGTTCATCAAGTAAATGGATAAAGACAAATATATATATATATATTTTCTATATAATAAAAGCCTAATATGTTAAGTGTCTGGTCGTCCTTTCAAGCAATCAAAGGGTAATATGATAAGGCTGCTCAATCGCTCGCTATAACATGCACTGACCACCAGGGGGCAGACAGTTGACCAGTTGCTATGACGTGCACTGACCACCAGGGAGCAGATGCTCCGACTGGTAGGTTAGCTTGCTGCTGGGGTCTGGCTGATAGGGGCTGAGCGAGACAGGCCGGGCATGCCCTGGAGCCTTCCTGCGGTCCCTCCCTGGCTGGCCGAGCTCCCAAGGCCCTCCCCGGCCCTGATTGTGCACTGATGGGGTCCCTCGGCATGGTCTGTGCCCTTTTGCAACCCAGGCTGAAGGACCCCCCCCCCCCGAGTGTACAAATTTCATGCACTGGGCCTCTAGTATATGGATAGATAGATAGATAGATATTGATATAGATATATAGATAGATATAATGAAATATTTTTCAGCAATAAAATGGAATGAAATCTTGCCATTTGTGGCAACATGGATGGACCTAGAAGGCTAAGTGAAATAAGTCAGACAGAGAAAGACAATTATCATTTCATTTATATGTGGAACCTAAAAAAACAAAGCAAATGAATAAACAGAATAAAAAAGAAACAGACCCATAGATATAGAGAATAAACTGATGGTTGCCAAAGGGGAGGGGATGGGAGGATGGGATAAAACATAAATAAAAAGGAAAAAAGAAAGAAATCAAACTATCTCTATTTGTAGGTGACATGATTTTATAGATAGAAAGTCCTAAGGAATCCATACACAAAAAAACTATCAGAGTTAATAAGTAAGTTTAGCAAAGTTGTAGGATATAAAATCAATATACAAAAATCAGTTCCCTGTACACTAGCAATGAACAATAAAAAACACAATTACAAAAACAATTTCATTTAGAGTAGCATTAAAAATAATAAAGTACTAAGCAATAAATTTACAAAGAGAAGTACAAGACTTATACACTGACAACTATAAAACACTGTAGAAAGAAATTAAAGAAGACTTAGATAAATGGAAAGGATGCTGTGTTCATGGACTGGAAGGGGAGAGGGAAAGCTATTTTGCTCCCCCTACAAGTATTATATTTCAGATTCACTCTTTATTCATCATTTCAACAGGTGAGGTTTGGTAAGCTATTCACCAGACCCAGAATTATATAATTTATTGGAACCGTGTCACTTATCAGAATTGTAAATAATAATTGTATTATTTACCTGAATTATATCATTGGGACTTAAGGAAATAAAAGAAAAAAAGGTTTTTATTAGTTATCAAAACAAAATGAGCTTGGGTCGAATAATTTCAAGAGAGTCTTAATTTGTCATTTTGCTCAAATGGTAGATTAACTAAAAAATTTCCTCTCCAAATATTATTTTTCCTAAGGTTTTAAATTGTTTTCTATTTCAACTTCAACTGAATATTTTATCTATAGGCAAATAAAGATTTGTTGTTTTTAGGGAGAGAACGGCAGGTTCTGTGATTTCCTGTAAAATGCACATACTTCTGAATTGCAAGCACCTCTCACTTTGTACGATGGGAACTTGAGAGGCCTGTTGTGCACTGGGAAGCAGGACTAAGAGGCTCTGGAAGTGCAGGGCTCTCCATAGCCATGATGACAGAGCCCGGCCAGCAGACAGATTCCTAACAGTCAAGTCCTGTTAAGGCTTCTCGATCTCATTCCAGTTCTCTGATCTGAAAAATGTTATAGCTGCACCTCCAAGCCACAACTGAGGGAAATTTAAAACAAATTTGGAAAAGCAATCTTAGCTCTTGTTTACGGATAAAAACTTTGAAAGGCACCCTCTCTGCTGCCCCTTCAATTTCCTACTCAAAGGTAAAGGCCTGCAGAAGACCAGGACAATTTGGAAACACTGCTTTGCTGCTTCTGAAGCACAAGCTTGGCTGTTTCTCCTCTTTGTCTTCGGTATTCTCAGAAAAAGAAACTTAAACATAAGGAATATAATAATGGGAGAACAGGGTGGAGAGAAGCCAGAGGCCTTGGAGTGATTTCTGAGGTAAAAGCAAAGCCAGAGCTTTGTTAAGAAAGAAGAGCTTTGCAGTAACCATAGTAAAAGGTAGTGAATTGTATAGACTACAAATAAGGCTGAGAGTTAATAAACATAAAATCATTCTGTATACGAGAGCCTTTATATTGTTGCCTGAGTGTTAAGGAGAATAAACAAAGGAAATAAAACTACAGGTAACTCTGCCCTCCTAATAAATTATTTCTGTTCTCATTTCTCTTCCCAGAGCTGTTGTAGCTATTTTATGCTCAAACCTACTGTCTCTAAGTTTCTGGAGCTTACTAAAAATTTAAAGTTTTCCGCTTCATAAAAAAGCATATGGAGTTTTGAGGTTTAAAATAAAAATGAGACTATTACTCTCAGTCTCAGTGATGGTGCCTGCCAATCAAGTAAGTGGCAGCCCTGTGCCCTGAAGAAGCAAAGCAGTTGTTAAGTATTTGATGAATTCACCACCTGTATGGTTCAAATCTTGATCTCCGGGGAGGTAATGGCCAGGGAAGGTCTCCAACCTAATACTACTAGTATTTTTAAAGTCTCTCTCTCTCTCTCTCTCTCTCTCTCTCTCTCTCTCTCTCTCTCTCTCTCGTACTTCTCTCTTATTCCCCTTCTTGGTTAATGGCCTCATTATTTAGCAAACTGTCCATATAGAAACTTGGGCAACCACTGTCTGGGTGGCTTCATTCACAAGGACCCACAATTGTGTGGATTCTATCAAAGAGTTTTCCTTCTTGTCTTCCTTCCCCCTCACTTCAAGCTCTCAACCATTTTTTTTAACCTACAGCTGATCTGCCAAATATCAGTACTCTCACCACCCTTTCTCCACTCCCCTCATTCCATCTTAGATACTGCTATCACCTTGACTGTCCTGGAATTAACTTGTTAAAAAACAATTAAAAACTTGATCCTTCCTGGGCTGGAGTGTCTCAATGGTTGAGCTTCGACTTATGAACCAGGAGGTCACAGTTCGATTGGTGGTCAAGACACATGCCCCGGTTGTGGGCTTGGTCCCCAATGGGGTGTGCAGGAGGCAGCCGATCAATGATTCTCTCTCATCTTTCTATCTGTCCCTCTCTGTACCTCTCTAAAATCAATAAAAATGTATTTGAAAAAAACCCACAAAAACAACAACTTGATCCTGCTGAAAAGGGCACCACCATTAAAGTATTAACTTCTCAGAACAGCTTGCATAGAACAGAATAGGAAAATTAGTTCCTTTAATTTGGTAATGATACTATAAATTGTGAGATTTAATGTGATTAGATAGTATTCAAGACCAGTTCTAAAGAAGCTTTTTCTTTCATTAGGGATTTTATGCATTTATTGAATCGCTTTCCCCGTACCCCAAATAAGACAGTGACTCTCAAATGTTTTTGTATTGAAGAATGGAGTGCAGCCCCCTTTGGTCTCAGCATCTATGTGAGTCACCAACCACAGGTAAATGCCTGGGATCCCAGGGTAAGAATTACATTCCCTTTCAGCCATAAATGAGCCCTAGTTTGAACAATCAATGAAATGGTCATCTTAGTCATACATCAGTTTTAAAGAGAGATTTAGTTTTCTACTAAGTATCCTTTGTAAAATTTAAAATGGAACTCTTTATTGTATTGCTAAATACAAAAAAAATGGTCTTCTTAAGCACTGTTTTTAAATAATGCAAAGATTTAAAGAAATAAATACTTAGATACAATAGGCAATTTTTTTCATTGTTATCAGTTAGGAAATCACTTAAAGTTAAGTTCTTTCAGACTTTGAACTCACCAAAGAAAATAATAGTCCTTGAATATCCTCTCTCACTACCACCACTGGCGGGGGTGAGGAGATAAGAGGAAGTGGGTTTCCAGAACAGAATGTATTTTCCTGTAGAAACTATGGTATAAATCAGGGGTGGGCAAACTTTTTGACTCGAGGGCCACAATGGGTTCTTAAACTGGACCAGAGGGCCGGAACAAAAGCATGGATGGGGTGTTTGTGTGAACTAATATAAATTCAAAGTAAACATCATTACATAAAAGGGTACGGTCTTTTTTTTTTTTTTAGTTTTATTCATTTCAAACGGGCCTGATCCGGCCCACGGGCCGTAGTTTGCCCACGGCTGGTATAAATTTTAATTCAGTGAATACTGTTCTGTTTAATGGTGACTTTTGACTCAAAAGGCATTATTCAGATTGGTTTGAACTTCTTTTTATTTATAAAACTGCTTACATATAAAAATGTTACTATTTATAAAATTATTTAAAAGACAATATGTTCTAAATTCCAAAACTTAGATATTGAAATTAATTTCTGAAACACAATAGTTTTAATAGAGTCTATCTAAAATGTTTGTATTCTATTTATATTAATCACTTCCATACATGTTTGTTTGGCTGGGATTGGTGGGTGATAGAATTAATTCAGGCAATAAGGACAATAAGGAGAGTATGACATCAAGAAAGCCTTTGAGATGGGTGTGATATAGACAGAAGAAGGTGGTAAGTAAAGGCGAAAAATTACGAGTGAACTTGGGAAATAGCAACTAGCCTAGTTTTGCTAATTATGGGGCATATATAGGAAAACAGTAAGTTTTGCTACCCTTGGTAATATCTTTTTTATGGTAGCAAATTTCATAAAATAATAATTAGTCTTTATTACCAGTGACATGCTATTTCATAGAACGAATGGTGGCATTAATATATTAATAGAAATTTAATATACAGAAATAAAACCTATTTAAATTTTATAGAAAAGATGGTGTTAGTAGTTTCAATTTTTGAAATGGTGAGAAGAATTAATAGTGATTTAAAATGAAAGTTCACTTACACAGTGGAAAATTGCCCAATCTTTCTGGTAAGAAAAAAAGCTGTCATTACTTAAGACAATCAAGAAATCTGGGCAAGAAATATGATAAAATATAAATAATGATCAATGTCATTAAATGATTTTGAAAAATTATTTCCATAATTGTACAAATATAAAACAAATATCTCAAGAAGCATATATACTATTTTGAAATAATTAAAATTAAAAAATAGGTCATAATCTTTATCAAGTATAAAGTCAATAAAATTTGCAGTTTGGTAAATATTGCATCCTGCTTATATTTCTTCGATGTGCATGGAAAAGTACAGTGTCAGTAGCAAAATTAAGCAAAATGCACTGTGTTGTACACACTGGGGAGCTGGCAAATTTCCCCCACTGCCCGGGCCCCCAGGGGCTACGTACCAAAGGTGCACTTGATGGAACTCCCGTGGACCAGGTTGCTGGGGCCACTTTCGGCTGCCAGTTGGCACCACCAGTCAACTTTTTCTCTCCAGCATTCCACTGAAGATCTCCCCTAAAATCAAGCATGCAAAACACACAAAAAACACACCAATCAGAAAAGAATGGTGTGTGATTCCTGAGATACTTTTATTTGAGGTTAGAAGCAATCTGTTTGAGTCCAGTGATAATAAAGAATACAGAGTAAAAATTATAGAAGATGCTTAACATACTGTATCTAAGAAAGCTTTAAAGCATTTGACAAAAATAATTTAGAGTTTGGACCTCAATGATAACAGGACTTTTCTATTACTTCTTTTTTTAATTTAAATTCTTTATTGTTGAAAGTATTACATATGTCTCCTTTTTTCCCCACTCCCCCTATCACTTCTAATAGAAAAATATGCCACAAATTTAACTGAATCCTTCACTGGTTATAAAAAATACTAAATAACTGTATCATAAATACTATATACCTACACTTTGTTGAATTTGAGGTGCATCCATGATGTCCCTTTCTGGATCAACAGAAGGTTTCACACAACTCTATCATAACTACAACCTGCATTACAATGACTATAAGATACCATATATTGGTAAAATGGATCCCAATTTCAGACGTTGAAATATGCATCTAAAAAAGGGTACACTGTTTATCATTCTTACTATCCTTCCTTAAAATTGATCCTCCATGAGAGACTTAAAAATCAATGTTAGCTAGGATTATTGTAATGAGTCTAGAATTTAAAGCTATTAAAGTATTCAAACCACAATTCCCCAGTATTTCTAGACTAGAAGCCCAGTGCACAAAATTCGTACACTGGTAGGGTCTCTAGCGGCTGCCGGCTGTTGGCCAGGGCCTCCCTCCCTTCCCCCGGCTGGCCCCACCCCCTGGTCGAACTCCCGTACGAACTCCCAGTTGAGAGGACAATTTGTATGCTACACTTTTATTATATAGGATAAAAGTTCATGACAATCTTGGAGACTAAAATATATTATTCCTTTTCATTGTCATAGCCAACAGTTTGGATGTTCCAGTAGAAAACAACAAAAACAAAAACCCAGAATAAAATAAAAACCAATTCTGAAATTACCTAGCCTGAGAATGAGTAATTACTTTAATGAGAACAACGTTTGATAGTCTCAAATAAGTACAAATACATTCTCTCAACAAAATCAGATAGCTTAAAAAGTACTTACTTTTTGGATGTGGTGCCAGAAATCCCAAGATCTATAAATGGATAAAAGAAAAAAAGAATTTAAAACTCTATACTCAGCTTAAATGATATGACATTTAAAAGATCAAAGACTCAGAGGTCTAGAAAAAGTCCATATTTTGCCTAGGAATGACTACATTCAGTTTTACAAAGGAGAAACTATGTCAGGAAACATTCACAAATCTAACATTTTCTTTTACTTTACATTATACTTAAGGATCGTATTTTAATGTCAATTCGTGTTCAGAAAAATAGAGTAAACACAGCAGGCTGGAGACTGCTATCTTAGAAAGGTCTATGTGGCTGGCATCTGGGAACCTAGCTGGTAAATTATTCTCTACACTGAGATAAAACTTTGCCTCATGATACGGGTGGCTTGCTGTGTCTAAACCATACAAACAACGTGGTTTATGCTGAACACCTGCTTTCCTTCTTCAAGACTGAAACTTTAGCACATGATCAGCATCCAAGAAAAATCCTGGGTGCTGAGTCTCTAAAGGGCTTCCTTGGGCAAACACATCACACACGTGGCCACATTTCTACATGGCCTTCCCCTCCTGGGAATGAGAGAGCGTAAGGAAGTCTGAGCATGGATTCCTCCAGACTCTGCCTGTGTCTTTTCCCCGATGATCCAGCTGTGCATCCTTACCAGCTGCTGTCATACATCTTAGCTGTGAGTACAGACATGTGCTGAGTCCCCTGAGTCCTTCTAGTGAATCAGTGAATGGGAGGGTCGTCTTGAGGATCCCGACACAACCAGCTTCATCGTTCTGCTCTAATCTCAGTTCATTTATTAAGTCAGCCAATATTTACTGAGCCCCTACATATACACCAGGCACTGTTCTAAGTGCTTGGGTTATGAGAGTGAAGGGAAAAAATAAATCCCAATCCTGGATGAACTTACATTCCAATGGGGTGAGATGGATGATAAAACAACATATATAAAAGAATAATAAAGTAAATTATGTAGGCGGTTAGAAGGTAAAATGGAAAGCCTATGGAAACATGAAAAGAAAGAGCAGGATCTGGTGGCATAGGATGAGAGTGAGGGCAGGCAGTACTAAACAGGATGCTCAGGGAAGGCCTCGTGGAGAAGGTGAGACTTGGGCAGAGCTGAGCAGAGATCCGGGGGAGGAGCTTTCTAGCTGTCATATGGTGCACTGTCTGTCCAACGGTAACTCGAGGTTTAACATTTCGAGAAACTGCGGAACTGCTTTCCACAGTAGCTGCCCAATGTTGCCTTCTCACCAGCAATGTCAGAGTTTCAATTTCTCCACATCCTCACAGACACTAGTTATAATGTCTTTTTAATCATAGACATTCTAATGGGTGTGAAGTGATATCTCATTGTGGTACTGATATGCATTCCACAGGTGACTGATGCTGAACATCTTTTCATGTACAAAGTGGACATATACTTTTTGGAGAAACGTTTAAGTCATTTGACTGTTTTTAAATTGGGTTACTTGTCTTTACAGTATTGAGGTGTAGCGTTCTTTATTCATTCTGAATAAAAGTCCCTTATGAGATGTATGTTTTCTCCCATTCTGTTGATTGTTTTTCACTTTCTTTCTTTTTAAAAAAATATATTGTTATTGATTTCAGAGAAGAAGGAAGAGGGAGAGAGAGATAGAAATATTAATGATGAGAGAGAGTCATTCATTGGCTGCCTCCTGCACACCCCCCACTGGGGATCAAGCCCACAACCTGGGCATGTGTCCTTGACTGGAATCGAACCTGGGACCCTTCAGTCTGCAGGCTGACGCTCTATCCACCAAGTCAAACCGGCTAGGGCTGTTTTTCACTTTCTTAATGGTATCACATGTAGCCCTATCTATCTATTTTTTTCTGTTATTGCTTGTGCTGTTGGTGTCATATCTAAGAACAAGGTTAGAAAGATTTATTCATACATTTTCTTCTAAAAATTTTATAGTTTTGGCTCCTACATTTAATCTATGATCCATTTTGAATTAATTATTTTAAAGAACTACAAGACTGTTTCCAAAGTGGCTGCATCATGTTATTTCCCTACCAGCAACAGTTGAGAGTTCTAATTTCTCTACATCCTTGCCAACACCTGTTACTCTCTTTTTGATAATAGCATCCCTAGTGAGTGTGAAGTGGTCTGTCAATGTGGTTTTGATTTGTATTTCCCTGATGTTCAACATCGATTCATGTACTTGTGGGCCACTGTATATCATTTTTGAAGAAATGTTTATTCAAATCCTTTGCCAATTTTAAAATTATTTGTCTTTTTATTACTGAATTGTAAGAGTTCTTTAATATTATGGATACAAGTCCCATATAAGATATATAACTTGGAAATATTTTCTCTCATTATGTGGGTTCTTAATGGTATCATTCATAACAAAAGTTTTTAATTTTGATGCATTCTTATTAATTTATTTTTATTTGATTGACTATTTTTGGTATTATATCTAAGAAGTCACTGCCTAATCCCAGGTCAATACGCCTAGATTTTTTTCTCTAAGAGTTTTATAGTTTTATCTCTTATATTTAGGTCTTTGATTCATTTTGAATTGATTTTTGTGGATGGTATAAAGAAGAGGCCCAACTTCAGTCTTTTGCATGTGGCTATCCATTTGGCTTGCACGTTTTTTGAATAGAGTGTTTTTTCCCATTCTGAATGGTCCTGCAAACCTAGAAAATCATTTAACAGTGTATGTGAGGTTTATTTCTGGGCTCTTCATTCTATGCTATTGGTCTATTTTCCTATGTCTATACTGTACCATTTGTCCTGATTAGTATAGCTTTGTATAAGTTCTGATATTAAAAAGCGTGCTTCAAATTTGTTCTTTATCAAGATTGTTTGGCTATTGGTCAGCCTTCTTCAGCTGAGATAAATATCAAAGGTGGAAGCATCTGTGAGCTGTGTGCTGAGGGCACTCTCAGAAGCTAGAGGTAAAAATCCTCTATTTCTGAAGAAGGGTCTGGGCGGTATATTACAGTGTCCAGCAAAAGCAGTTACCACTGCAGACTATCCATCAGTGGGATAATATTTTAGAGTAGGAAGAGATACTAAAATAATCTCTCTATGGCTGTCATCAAAGCATTTTCATGGATGCCCAGACTGAGGATGCTGAATGGAAAACAAAAGTATATCCATAGGGTAATGGATAGAAAAAAAATGTGTATAAATGATATGCTAAACTTTTGATACAGCCTCAAGTGAAATGAAAGGTATTTGCAATACTAACCCCATTCACCTTAATTAAAAAAATCAAATTCAGATTTGAAATATAAGGCCAGTCTTTATCATAGCTGCCCTCACCTCCTAAGACTCTCTCTTTCATGTACCTAGCTCCAGCCACAGTCTCCTTGATTGATGTTCCTTGAATATACCAGGCAATCTTCTGCCCAATGTCTTGGCACTGGCTGTCTCCTTAGCCTGCACATGTTCTCCTTTAGATATCCATGTGGCTCATTCCTTTACCTTCAAATCTTTGCTCAAATTTTACATTCTCAGTGAGGCCTACTCTCACCCCCACTCTGTGGCACTCTTTACCCCTCTTTGCCTCCCCCATGGGACTTATAACCTAACACACTATAGAATTTATCAATTTGAAAATGTTTAATGTTTGTCTTTTCCCTTTCAGAGCACCATAAAAACAGAAATTTATACCTGTTTTGATCACTAATTTTCTCTCTCAAGCCTGGAAGAATGCCCAGTATTCAATCAATAGTATTTGTTGAATGAATAACTAACACGCACTTGGATGTTCAATTAGTAAACATACTGCATTTAAGTTATTCTGCGTTCTCATTTCCAAATGAAATGAAAACTTAAGTACTTATTATACACAATGCACTTGACTTCATACTTGCACATGCTAACTATACCGTGGATAATTTAGATTAATTATTAATTATGACCTGGGTACTGCTTGTAAGACTATGGTATAGAGACTGCTTACCTTCCAAGGAGCTGTACTGGGTAAAGCACTAAGAATTTCTGCCCACTCCTTAATACACTCACTCACAAGTGAATCCAGAAACAATACATAGGAAAAGACAGGGGGGAAATCACACATGATTCAGTTAAATAAAACTATATGACTCACTGCCTACTAAGCTGGCAAGAGACGAGTCAAGATCGCTCCCAAGAGGTTTGCTTGCTGCCACTGCAGGACTAGGAGGTACCATCGAGATGGGTGCAGGCTGCCCAGTTGGTGCCATGGTTGGCATCAGAAGGTCACCTAGACCATCAAACACTGGAAATCAAATAGACCAGGTTCAGAATAATTGAAAAAAATACATCATATGGAAAATTAAAGGGAAAACTGTCTTAAAAAAACAACTATGGAAACAAGTGAATATACAATCTTATAAAAGAAGGCTTGTAATTCACACTTATCATGACCATAACACCAAAAAGAACATCTCTACATAAGTCTACTCGTAAAGTATGGAAATACTAATGAACATGAACAAAGATGGAAAACAATCTGTGTAATGTACAGGAAAGAGCACAGACTTTGGAGTCAGAATTGAGCTCCAACTCAGCTACACGCCTCACTAGCTGTATGTCTTTGAGAAAGTTTCTGTCTGAGCTTTAATTGCCTCATCTGTAAGTGGGAAAAGTACCACCACTACTACTACATGGCTTTGTTGTAAAGATTAAATTAGATAATACATGTCATGTCTTCATTATAACATTTGCTGTACACAGGCACTCAATAATTGGTAGCCATGGTTACTCATTAAAAGCTATCACTAAAACATGTTTTATTCAAAATGGTAGTGATTTAGCAAAGCCTAACTGGTTTACTCTAAAGTTATACAATGCTTACATTTTTTTTAAAAAAAAAAAAGTCTTTGTTGAAACTATTACATAAACAACTTAAAACAATTCTTAAATGAGAAAAGAAGGCCAAATCTCTTAGTTCCCTATGAAATCAGTGTCAAAATAAAACCTGATATAATGGTCAATACCTATTAAAAAGTATCTGAAAAACAGTTGACCATATTTTAGAAGTAAGAATTTTATTTTTTTTCTCCAGTATAGCACTCACTTTTGGTTCTAACTTTACAGGAATATTTAAAGTAAACACTATTTCAGTAATAGGAACCATGCTATTATTCATGGTTCCTGATTACCATGTAACTAATTACTACTTGTCTAGTTCCTAGAACACAAGAAGGCCATTTAAAATGCAGATTCATGGGATTTGCATAAGTTATTGCTAATATCCATGTCAAAGATTTTGTGGTTGTTAATTTTTATTAAAAAACTATGCATATTTACCATACATACTACTATACAATGATTCTAAATTAAAAAAAGAACAGCATTCAACTAGGCACTGGCAATGGAAGCAACCAAATTGTCAGGCAGGGCATATATTTAGGGTGTTTCTGAAACACATTTAATTGCCAAAAACTCACCAATTGAAAATTTGTAGTAAGGACCCAGCATGGGAAGAGTAGAATGGAAGAGAATACAAACAAAATGACTGCAGGATGAAAGGTTAAAGGCAGGCAAAGAATACTATTTGTGTCTCAACTTCAAAAAACCAAGAACTATGCAAGCTTCAGAGGGTGTAAGCAACAGCAGGGGGAGTGTCCACACATTCAGATACTGTACAAAGATTTAGTACAGAGTACTTGTTTTCCTTTAACCATCTCTAAACCGTGTGCATGTAAGCTCATGCAATAGATGGTGTGCGTGTTAAGTTAGATTTCTGCAAAAAAATTAAAAACAGAAACACAGAAAGGAATTAAAAGTTATTCTTAAAGCCACCAAAATGTACTAAAAATATTCACTTAAGTTACTGAATTTATTTATCGAACAGTTTTTAAAATAAGGTCATCACTCAGTATTGCGTAGACATTTCCTGATTATCATACTAACCTTAGGTGGTTTACTTTATAATCAGAACAAATTAAAAGATTGTAGAAAACCACTGTCTCACCTGATGGATCAAAGGAGCTGCTGCTAGAAGTTGAAGGCGTTGTTCCAAAAGCTGCCTCAAAATTGGGCTGTAGCAGGTTATTCTGGGCTGGAGTCACTGGTGATGGAGAAGGGGCCATGAAGGAACCCCCAAATCCTAGGAAAAAGCAGTTCCAGAAAAAAATAAGCAGAAACAACTAACCATGGGTAAAGGCCATAAAAACAGAGTCAGAAAAAGTTATAGAAGACAGAAAGGAATTGAATGCATGTAGATGAGAGAAGTCAATGACACCTGGGAAGTTATAGGTTATTACAAGTTTTTCAAGTATGTTGACACCTATCATGTATTAATGAGAGATTTAAGTTAACTGGAAACAAGATAGCACACAAGAATATATACCTTTGTTAAGAGAACCCGCGGCAACCAAATCTACGAATACAGTAGAGCACATAAAGCTAAGAGGGTCTCACCCGAGTTAAAATTCATAAAATTATTTTCATTATATTTAAACTTTGATTCTTCAAATCACAATACCAGGTAGTTAGAAAACGCTTAGTTGCACACATTGAACCAGTATGATAATAAAATAAAATCAGAAAAATATGTGTGCATTCTTTCTGCCACCAAATCCTTTTTAATATCTTTCATATGTTCTGGTCCCCTTGCTGCTACTGCCAAGTGAAGGCTCGCCCAACATGGCTCTCAGGTTTCATAAAGTCGCCCAGTGGGGCTTCTCATTTGGACTTCCTTCAGTCCAGTCTCTGTAGTGCAGCCAGAGTGATTTTTCTGAGTGGAAAATGTTGATAAAGTTACTTGCCTAAAATCCTTCCCTGGATTCACATAACTTTCAGATTCACAGAGTTCAGATTCCTTTGCATAGCAATCAAGCTCTTCTGGCTCTGATTCCCTCTCCATCTCTGCAAACTAGGTTGCTGCTTATTGTATCATCAAAGTGAGTCAGATGCCTGCTCTGGGAGGGATTCCTTGCCTTATACTGTTATCAGCCACAAACTACC